ACAGAGCTACACGAAGTACTTTTCTTCCACTGTTGCAGTAGATCTTGAATCTCCATTGGTACAATCTGCAATAGCTCAGCTTTACAGCATAAAAAGTGGCGGGCTGGGGGGGGGGGGGGGGGGGGGGCAATCTGCAGTTACTACATCCATTTTTGGACTTATAAATTAATTATATGTATCTATTGATTCTTGAAGGATATAACTTATAGATGTGTTATAAGCCTACTTCAACCTTTTTACCCCATAACTGAAAATATTAAACTTGTTTCACTCAAATGATTGTAAACAAAGTTAATGTAAACAAACACTGTTGACATCATGGATGGTCAGTCCCTGCATCCATAGCTCTGGCTACATTTCTCCAGCCCCTTCCCTCAACTTTTTACATAAAAAGTGGTGGGGATGACGCTTTGTTCGTTTTTCAGTCGGATCGACTTGGTCCAACACAGCTATGGCGAGTTTGCACGCCTAACAAGGCCAATGAACACCATGCCTCACTGGAAGCCCCCGAATTCATTCTTTAAATTCTTCGCCTCCGGCTGAGCAGAACAATGCATTTCTTAAAACAGCAAGCATTGGTATGCAAAATCAGACTCCAACTGTCTCACTTAAGGAGGCATTCTCATCCTTCTGGGTGTGTGTGTTAAAGTTTGGTAACTATACTGAGCAAAAATATAAATGCAACATGTAAAGTGTTGGTCCCATGTTTCATGAGCTGAATTAAAGGTTTCCAGAAATTGTCCATAGGCACAAAAGGCTTATATATCTTACATTTTGTGCACAATTTTGTTTACATCCCTGTTAGTGAGCATTTCTCCTTTGCCAAGATAATCCATCCACCTGACAGGTCTGGCATATCAAGAAGCTGATTAAACAGTATGATCATTACACAGGTGCACCTTGTGATGGGGACACTAAAAGGCCACTCTAAAATGTGCAGTTTTGTCACACAACACAATGCCACAGATGTCTCAAGTTTTGAGGGAACGTGCAATTGGCAATGCTGACGGCAGGAATATCCACCAGAGGTGATGCCAGAGAATGTAATGTTAATTTCTCTACCATGTCGTTTTAGAGAATTTGGCAGTACGTCCATCCGGCCTCACAACAGCAGACCACATGTAACCATTCCAGCCCAGGACTTCCACATCCGGGCTTCTTCACCTACGGGATCGTCTGAAACCAGCCACCTGGAGAGCTGATGAAAATGTGGGTTTAAACAACAGAAACATTTCACAAACTGTCAGAAACCGTCTCAGGGAAGCTCATCTGGATGCTCGTCGTCCTCACCAGGGTCTTGACCTGACTGCAGTTTGGCGTCGTAACAGACTTCAGTGGGCGTATGCTTACCTTCGATGGCCACTGGCACGCTGGAGAAGTGTGCTGATCACGGATGAATCCCGGTTTCAACTGTACCGGGCAGATGACAGACAATGTGTATGGCGTCGTGTGGGTGAGCGATTTGCTGATATCAACGTTGTGAACAGAGTCCCCCAAGGTGGCAGTGGGGTTATGGTATGGGCAGGCATAAGCTACGGACAATGAACACAATTGCATTTTATCCATGGCAATTTGAATGCACAGAGATACTGTGACGAGATCCTGAGGCCCATTGTCGTGCCATTTATCCACCGCCATCACCTCATGTTTCAGCAAGATAATGCGTGGCCTCATGTCGCAAGGATCTGTACCCAATTCATGGAAGCTGAAAATGTCCTAGTTCTTCCATGACCTGCATACTCACCAGACATGTCACCCATTGAGCATGTTTGGGATGCTCTGGAGTGATGTGTACGATAGCGTGTTCCAGTTCCCAGCAATATCAAGGAACTTCACAGAATCATTGAAGAGGAGTGGGACAGCATTCCACGGCCACGATCAACAGCCTGATCAACTCTATGCGAAGGAGATCTGCATGAGGTAAATGGTGGTCACCCTAGACACTGACCGGTTTTCTGATACACGCCTTTACCTTTTTTTCTAAGGTATCTGTGACCAACAGATGCATATCTGTACAGTGCATTCGGAAAGTATTCAGACCTTTTTTGACCTTTTCCACATTTTGTTACGTTACAGCCTTATTCTAAAATTGATTAAATAAATGTTTTCCTCATCAATCTACACACAATACCCAATAATGGCAAAGCAAAAACATTTTTTAAGAATTTCTTTCACATTTATTAAAAATAAAAAAAACAGATGTACCTTATTTACATAAGTATTCAGACCCTTTACTATGAGACTCGAAATTGAGCTCAGGTGCATCCTGTTTCCATTGATCATCCTTGAGATGTTTCTACAACTTGATTGGAGTCCACCTGTGATAAATTCAATTGATTGGACATGATTTGGAAAGGCACACACCTGTCTATATAAGGTTCCACAGTTGACAGTGCATGTCAGAGCAAAAACCAAGCCATGAGGTCGAAGGAATTGTCCGTATAACTCAGAGACAGGATTGTGTCGAGGCACAGATCTGGGGAAGGGTACCAAAACATTTCTGCAGCATTGAAGGTCCCCAAGAACACAGTGGCCTCCATCATTCTTAATGGAAGGAGTTTGGAACCATCAAGACTCTTCCTAGAGCTGGCCGCCCGGCCAAACTGAGCAATCGGGGGAGAAGGGCCTTGGTCAGGGAGGTGACCAAGAACCCAAGGGTCACTCTGACAGAGCTCCAGAGTTCCACTGTGGAGATGGAAGAACCTTCCAGAATGACAACCATCTCTGCAGCACTCCACCAATCAGGCCTTCATGATAGAGTGGCCAAACGGAAGCCACTTCTCGGTATAAGAGTCATGACAGCCCGCTTGGAGTTTGCCAAAAGGCACCTAAAGGACTCTCAGACCATGAGAAACAAGATTCTCTGGTCTGATGAAACCAAGATTGAACTCTTTGGCCTGAATGCCAAGTGTCACGTCTGGAGGAAACTTGGCACCAGCCCTACGGTGAAGCATGGTGGTGGCAGCATCATGCTGTGGGGATGTTTTTCAGCGGCAGATACTGGGAGACTAGTCAGGATCGAGGGAAAGATGAACGGAGCAAAGTACAGAGAGATCCTTGAAGAAAACCTGCTCCAGAGCACTCAGGACCTCAGACTGGGGCAAAGGTTCACCTTCCAACAGGACAACGATCCTAAGCACACAGCCAAGACAAAGCAGGAGTGGCTTCGGGACAAACCTCTGAATGTCCTTGAGTGGCCTGCCAGGACTTAAACCTAATCGAACATCTCTGGAGAGACCTGAAAATAGCTGTGCAGCGACGCTCCCCATCCAACCTGACAGAGCTTGAGAGGATCTGCAGAGAAGAATGGGAGAAACTCCCCAAATACAGGTGTGCCAAGCTTGTAGCGTCATACCCAAGAAGACTTGAGGCTGTAATCGCTGCCAAAGGTCCATCAACAAAGAACTGATTAAGGGTCTGAATAATTGTGTAAATGTAATATTTCAGTTTTGTCATTATGGGGTATTGTGTGTAGATTGATAAGTAAAAAAAAAACGATGTAATACATTTTAGAATAAGGCTGTAACTTAACAAAATGTGTAAAAAGTCAAGGGGTCTGAATACTTTCCGAATGCGCTGTATTCCCAGTCATGTGAAATCCATAGATTAGGGCCAAATGAATTTATTTCAATTGACTGATTTCCTTATATGAACTGTAACTCAGTAGAATCTTTGAAATTATATTTTTGTTCAGTTTAGTTTTGTGATGTTCCCTCCCAATTTGTTACTTATTCTTCAGCCTCGCTAACCGGTTGTAAGTAAGCTGACTAGCACAAACAATTTGACAAAGGCTTTTAAGCTGGGTTCGAGTTCACGACCTTGCCCACAGTCATGTGGTTTCACCATGTCTTTGAATGATACTCACAAGTGTTGTCTTGTATGTCTTGACTGGGTGCGTGTTCAGGTTGAAAATGCCCTGGTTGAACCAGCTCGTGCGACCACTGTCGCAGGCGTGTAGCCTTCCTTAGAATGCTTGGTGGGACTGAAGTTGAGTTTCCTCCCCTGGGTGCCTGGACCACAGTGGAGTCTGAGTTGCAGGATACAGGGGTGGATCTGGGCTCGTAGTCGGATCACATGGAGCTATCCTCCCAGCATGGCGATATACATCTGGCTGATATCTTTGGTATTACACAGGACTCACGTTCGGATGCCAACCTGCTGTCTCTGGCCAGTTACGGGGAGTTTTCTGAGACAGAGATGGAGGGTTAGGGCTTCGGATGTAGCAGGGGAATCCCTGGCTTCTAGCATGCCGCTCATTGATCTATGTCGCTGACCGGGTGTGCGCTTGTCAAAGGGATGGCTAACACCGTAGCTCCTGAATAAGTACTGTTGTTTTTTCAGGGCGCTGCTTGACAAGATGTACCGGCCCTAGGAGATGGTGGCCCGGTCCCTGAACACGATTACAAAGCTGCAGGTTTATCAGACTGAACTGTGGGCTGACCAACACGGTTCTGGCTTCTGGGGAACCCCACGCAGAGCTCCTAGATGAGATTCGTGCTACGGACAATTTCGTCTTGGGTATGTCCCGTTGCTTGGGAGAAGCATGGGAGCTACCTACGTGGCGCAGTGGCATCTTTAGTTGAATTGTCGCCAGTGCCGGAGAGAGACAGGCAGTTATACTTAGACAAGCCAATTTCTCCTACGGGGTTGTTCGGCTCGGCCCTCGAGTCTATGCAGTCTCATTTTGAGGAGAAAAAGAAGCACTAGGTGGCAGCATCGTCTTCTAGAGGGTCCGCAGACAGAGGCCCGGCGGCTAAGTGGTCTTCTCCGGCTTCCTGGTCCACCCCCAAGTCTACTGCTGCTTGTTCCACAAGAGCAGCGCCAGTCTGCTTGGTAAAGGCGCCGTTTTAAGGGTGAAGTGAAAGCTGGTCCCTCCGAGGAACCTGGGGAGGCAGCAGCCCCTGTGCACCTAGTGCGATGACAGGGGAGGTGGCACGGTCCCCTCCCCAGATGTTCGCCGTGACAACAGTACCACCAAATGGCACGGCCAATCGGGGTATATCACTGGTAGCCGAAGCCCTCTGAACCCAGAGTGGATCGGGCTTCAGGCAAACATCCGCAAACATCAGCAAACATCAGCAAATATCAGCAAACATCAGGCAAACATCAGCAAACATCAGCACTTAAACACATTGTTTCTACCCCACAGTGCTCACGGTGTTCTACCCCACAGTGTTCATGGTGTTCTACCCCACAGTGTTCAAAGTGTTCTACCCCACAGTGTTCATGGTGTTCTACCCCACAGTGCTCACGGTGTTCTATCCCACAGTGTTCACGGTGTTCTACCCCACAGTGTTCATGGTATTCTACCCCACAGTGTTCTATCCCACAGTGTTCTACCCCACAGTGTTCAAAGTGTTCTGCCCCACAGTGTTCTACCCCACACTGTTCAAAGTGTTCTACCCCACAGTGTTCTACCCCACAGTGTTCAGTGTGTTCTACCCCACAGTGTTAAAAGTGTTCTACCCCACAGTGTTCATGGTGTTCTATCCAACAGTGTTCACGGTGTTCTACCCCACAGTGTTCATGGTGTTCTACCCCATAGTGTTCTATCCCCACAGTGTTCTACCCCCACACTGTTCAAAGTGTTCTACCCCACAGTGTTCTACCCCACAGTGTTCTACCCCACAGTGTTCACGGTGTTCTACCCCACAGTGTTCACGGTGTTCTACCCCACAGTGTTCACGGTGTTCTACCCCACAGTGTTCAAAGTGTTCTACCCCACAGTGTTCACGGTGTTCTACCCCACAGTGTTCAAAGCATTCTACCCCACAGTGTTAAAAGTGTTCTACCCCAAAGTGTTCTACCCCACAGTGTTAAAAGTGTTCTACCCCACAGTGTTCTACCCCACAGTGTTCTCGGTGTTCTACCCCACGGTGTTCACAGTGTTATACTCCACAGTGTTCAAAGTGTTCTACCCCACAGTGTTCTACCCCACAGTGTTAAAAGTGTTCTACCCCATAGTGTTCTACCCCACAGTGTTAAAAGTGTTCTACCCCATAGTGTTCTATCCCACAGTGTTCATGGTGTTATACCCCACAGTGTTCAAAGCGTTCTACTCCACAGTGTTCTACCCCACAGTGTTCTACCCCACAGTGTTCTACCCCATAGTGTTCACGGGTGTCCAGAGTGTTGTGTCTTCCACATGTGAGCTGAAAAAAAGAGTCTGTTCCCCACAGTCAGACACTCAATGAAAAGAGGGGCGATCCCCTTCAGAAGGCACTATGGGAGACTCGCTGTCTGTGTCGACCAATGGCGTGCATGCACAGTATCACCCTGAATTATGTGATGTTGGGGTACAGTTCCTTGTGCGTCCTCCACATTTTTACAGCGTCATTACGTTGACTGTTCCCGAGGCCTCAGTGCCCGTTTTGAGTGAGGAGATTTCTGAGTGGTTGCTATGTCAGAGGCCCAGGATGGCTGGTACAGCCGGTATTTCCTGGTTCTCAAAAGGGACAGGACTTTGCGTCCCATTTTTGACCAGCGTGCCCTAAACAAGCACCTCAGGATTTAAAAAAAAAATCAGGATGCTCAAAAACAGCCGGTTGTTACAGTCTGTGCGCCCGGGAGATTGGTCCATGTATCCCACTTCACAGAAAGTTCCCGAGGTTCCACTTCGAGGCTGTACCCTACGAGTTTCTGGTCCTCCTTTTCGGGCTTTCCCTCTTGCCTCGCACTATCACTAAACTTGTGGAGATGGGTTTGGCACCTGGTGCGGTGTCTGGGGCTCAGGATATTGGACTACCTGGACAATTGGCTGGTGGTAGCGTGACTCGAGGAAGCAGGTGTTGTTACATCCATGCTGGTTTCCCATGTTCAGTTTCTGGGTTTCACAGTCAATCAAGAGGAGAGCTGTTTGACTCCATCGCAGCGCATTCTGTTTCTTTGTTTCGAGTTAGTCGAGAATCGTGTGTTCTTGTCCCTGCACATGGCCTAATTTTGTCTGGGTCACAATGTGCCTTGCGCCTTTTTTGGGGGATGATGGCTTCTATGATAGACATGGTTTCCCCGGGCTGTTGCTGATGAAACCGTTCCAGCAGGATAATGGACACTCGCTTGGACGCATTGCGCCACTGAAACCAGTCGCTCTGGGTGTCCCCATCATAATAATAATAATAATAAGCCATTTAGCAGACGCTTTTATCCAAAGCGACTTACAGTCATGCCTACGGGCTCTGGCTCGGTGGACAGACGTTGGCCTGAGCACTATGAACATTGTCCACAGATTGAGCTGCCCCCTCGCACAGCGCACCCAACCCTTGGAGGGGTATATAAACGTTGTTGTTGCTGGGGACCCCCTATTGGTCAGGTTATGTACTCCCCAAGGGTTGGGTGCGCTGTGCGAGGGCAGCTCAATCTGTGGACAATGTTCATAGTGCTCAGGCCAACGTGCTGATGAGGACTAACAGTGGGACATCAACAGAGAGGGAGAGGGGTGTGGTCCCCGCCCCCTCCTATCTTTGGCTCGCTCCCCTGCCGCTGCGGAGTAGTGCACACTAGTCCTCGCACTGGACGATGTATCTCCATGGGCGCCTCAACACGTGTGCAGATCTGAAATCTATTCTCTCTCTCTCTCTCTCTCTCTCTCTCTCTCTGATTATCTCTATCTATTCTCTCTCTCTCTCTGATTAACTCTGTCTGTTCTCTCTCTCTCTCTGATTATCTATATCTGTTCTCGCTCTCTCTGATTATCTCTATCTATTCTCGCTCTCTCTGATTATCTCTATCTGTTCTCTCTCTATCTCTCTGATTATCTCTCTGTTCTCTCTCTATCTCTCTGATTATTTATATCTGTTCTCTCTCTCTCTGATTATCTCTATCTGTTCTCTCTCTATCTCTCTGATTATCTCTATCTGTTCTCTCTCTCTCTCTGATTATCTCTATCTGTTCTCTCTCTCTGTCTCTGATTATCTCTATCTCTGTTCTATCTCTCTCTGTTCTCTTTCTCTCTCTCTGTTCGCTCTCTCTCTTTCTCTCTCTCCCCTCTCACCAATATATTAACACAGTCTCAAGAACCTGCCTCATTGGAATATTAAGTCTGTTATGTTACTAAATCACCAAGAAATGACCCAAAATCCCAGTAAAAACAACTCTTCATCATTTACACCAATGCCTTGTTACAGAAGCTCGTTTTGTAATTACTGTATGTGGAATTAACCCTATTTTGCAAATGGCTTTAAAGTCACAATTCACCGGTCAAATTAGGCTTCCCTTTTGATTGGTTGCCTTAATCGGGGAACACCGATTGCACGTTGGTCTACTAGTATAAATTGGTATGTACTGGTATAAACTGGTACGAATATCTGCAGATTAATAACGGTCGGTCACTTTCCCCATTTTCTCATCGTGTTCATCTTGACAGGGAACATATCAATTTACTGTACATCTGCGTGCCAATGTGTTCTATCTAAAACCAAACAGCAGACTTATTCACCCCCCCTGAACAGCTGTGGCCAACAGTTAATACCTAGCAGATGTCACACTGGAAAATATGACACATAACTTGTTGCACTACACTATAGGCCGAGTGACCCAAATGACACCCTGTTCCCTACACAGTGCACTACTTTTGACCAGAGCTCTAGTAAAAAAAATAGTGCACCACGTAGGGAATAGGGTGTCATTTGGGATTCATAGAGAGGTTTATGTAAGATATGTTAATTGATCCTGTCTGGACTAGGAGATAGGAATTAAACGTACACATTTCGTGAGTTTATAGTTACTATACACTACATGACCAGAAGTATGTGGACACCTGGTCGTCGAACATCTCATTCCAAAATCATGGTCCCCCCTTTGCTGCTATAACAGCCTCCACTCTTCTGGGAAGGCTTTCCACTAGATGTTGGAAACATCGCTGCGGGGAATTGCTTCCATTCAGCCACAACAGCATTAGTGAGGTCGGGCACTGATGTTGGGCGATTAGGCCCGGCTCGCAGTCTGCGTTCCAATTCATCCCAAAGGTGTTCGATGGGGTTGAGGTCAGGGCTCTGTGCAGGCCAGTCAAGTTCTTCCACACCTATCTCGACAAACCATTTCTGTATGGACCTCGCTTTGTGCACGGGGGCATTGTCATGCTGAAACAGGAAAGGGCCTTCCCCAAACTGTTGCCACAAATTTGGAAGCACAGAATCATCTAGAATGTCATTGTACACTGTACCATTAAGATTTCCCTTCACTGGAACCTAGCCCAAACCGTGAAAAACAGCCCCAGACCATTATTCCTCCCCTACCCAACTTTACAGTTGGCACTATGCATTGGGGCAGGTAGCATTCTCCTGGCATCCGCCAAACCCAGATTAGTCCGTTGGACTGCCAGATGGTGAAGCGTGATTCATCACTCCAGAGAACACGTTTCCACTGCTCCAGAGTCCAATGGCGGTGAGCTTTACACCACTCCAGCAGACGCTTGGCATTGCGCATGGTGATCTGAGGCTTGTGTGCGGCTGCTCGGCCATGGAAACCCATTTCATGAAGCTCCCGAACGAACAGTTGTTGTGCTGATGTTGCTTCCAGAGGCAGTTTGGAACTTGGTGATGAGTGTTGCAACCAAGGACAGATGATTTTTATACGCTACACGCTTCAGCACTCAGCGGTCCCGTTCTGTGAGCTTGTGTTTTGCCTACCACTACGCGGCTGGGCCATTGTTGCTCCTTGACGTTTCCACTTCACAATAACAGCACTTACAGTTGACCGGGGCAGCTCTAGCATGGCAGAAATTTGACGAACTGACTTGTTGGAAAGGTGGCATCCTGTGACGGTGCCAAGTTGAAAGTTACTGAGCTCTTCGGTAAGGCCATTCTACTGCCAATGTTTGTCTATGGAGATTGCATGGCTGTGTGCTCGATTTTATACACCTGTCAGCAACGGATGTGGCTGAAATAGCCTAATTCACTCATTTGAAGGGGTGTCCACATACTTTTGTATATATAGTGAATGGTTATGGTTAAAAGGATATGGAAAGGAATTCAGATGTAAAATGTTACTTTCTTTGTTGTGTTTTATCCCTTGCTGAAAAACTAAACATCCCACACAACTCTAAGTTAAATTTAACCCTATGCCTAAAAAAAAATAAAAATAATATATATAAAGTCTCAGTAAAAAAAAAAAGAAGTTTACCACAAGTATGTGACTTCCAGGACATAATCATATGGTAATGAGATGCAGATAAAGGCCTATGACAAGGATGTGACTTCTAGGACATAATCGTATGGTAATGAGATGCAGATAAAGGCCTATGACAAGGATGTGACTTCTAAGATGTAACCTAAAGTAAAGTTATGGTAATGAGATGCAGGTAAACATCATGAATGTCTGTGCACGACCTTTCTGTTTTTCTACTGAATGGTCTGGTCACTTCAGGTTAAGCGTTGACATAGTGACCTGACATCCAGCTCCCAGCGCCAACCCCCCCAACCCCCTCCACCCCCTTAGGTAACTGCTTATGCATAGTTAATGAACCGGTGAATCCTGCCTAACCGACAAAAGGGTCAAGTTACTTTTCAGATCATGAAATGATGTAATAATGTCATGTAGAATTACAGTTTTAGAATGTATTCTATTTATTTTCTCTCAAAATCAGCTTAACTTGTGAATTTACGACTTAAAAACGGATCATTTTGTTTGTTTTAGTGTGTCATTTTCATAAATTAAAGTATGATGTCAATAGAAACTTCCTTGGGTTAAGAGGGCAATGTTTTGCAATTCTTAACAGACACCAAACAGTGGCAGGAAGTTACAAAAATGGATTGATCAATTGTCTTTTTAAGTGGTGCCCTCAGCATCCTTTAATTTAAAAAACTTAAATTAAATCCAGGAACTTTATTGCCTACACTCACAGAGAAACTAGAGAGCCCACAGTAAACACCAGAACACTGTTTCCAAAGATGCTGCTTTGCTTAAGCTCCTTGTTCCAGAACTCAAGTCTCTTGCCAGTGTTTTGTCAGAAAGAAGGAAGCCATAGAGAAGGTAGATTGGATTGTATCAGTGTACTGTTATATAATATACTGTATCAGTGTACTGTTATATAATATACTGTTATATAATATACTGTATCAGTGTACTGCTTTTACCACTCCAGCCGACGTTTGGCATTGTGCATGGTGATCTTAGGCTTGTGTGCGGCTGCTTGGCCATGGAAACCCATTTCATGAAGCTCCCAATGAACAGTTATTGTGCTGAAGTTTTTTACAGAGGCGGTTTGGAACTCGATAGTGTGTGTTGCAACCGAGGACAGATGATTTTTTACAAGCTACGTGGTTCAGCACTCGGCGGTCCCGTTCCGTGAGCTTGTGTGGCCTACCACTTCGCGGCTGAGCCGGTGTTGCTCTCAGACGTTTCCACTTTACAATAACAGCACTTACAGTTGACCGGGGCAGCTCTAGCAGGGCAGAAATTTGACGAACTGATTTGTTGGAAAGGTGGCATCATATGACGGTTGCCACGTTGAAAACCACTGAGCTCTTCAGTAAGGCCATTCTACTGCCAATGTTTGTCTGTGGAGATCGCATGGCTGTGTGCTAGATTTTATACACGTGTCAGCAACGGGTGTGGCTGAAATAGCCGAATCCACTAATTTGAAGTTGTGTCCTCATACTTTTGTAGATATAGTGTATGTTGCATGAATTCACAATGAAAATACAATGAAATCAAAAAAATGATTGAATTATTACTCTCACAATTCCACACCTTTTCAACATAAATGTTCCACATTCTTTGCTTGACAAGCAGTTCCCTTATTCCACCACTTGGCACGTATGTATAGTGTCATGAGGTGAGGTGTATGTGTGGTGGAAGTCAGGCGCAGGACACCGAGGCTCAGTCCAACAGAGTTTACTCAAAATTTCCAAAAGGAAACGGAAAAACAAACGACCTCAAACAACAAGAGGCGAGCATTTACGCAAAATGCGTAAAACACAAAAATGCAAACAAGAAACAAAACACTCAGCACAACGACAGGCGAACAACAACACACAATCCTACCAAGCAAAAAGACGGAACTTATAGGACAGGTGATGAATACACAATAGGGCACAGGTGTGACAGACAGACGAAAGCAATCACACACAGAAACATAGATCGGTGGCAGCTAGTACTCCGGGGACGGCGACCGCCGACGCCTGCTCGTACCAGGAGGGGGAGCAGCCTCGGCAGAATCCGTGACAGTACCCCCCCCTTGACGCGCGGCTCCAGCCGTGCGCCGACCCCCGGCCTCGGGGACGGCCAGGAGGACGCGGACCCGGGCGCGTGGGATGCCCACGGTGGAAATCAGTCAGGAGGGATGGATCGAGGATGTCCCTCCTGGGCACCCAGCACCGTTCCTCCGGACCGTACCCCTCCCACTCCACGAGATACTGGAGACCACTCATCCGGCGCCTCGAGTCCAAGATGGTCCGGACTCTGTACGCCGGGGCCCCCTCGATGTCCAAAGGGGGCGGAGGGGTCTCTCCTATCTCATTCTCCTGGAGTGGACCAGCTACCACCGGCCTGAGAAGAGACAC